TTAATAGAAAAAACTGTAAAAGGCGTAGTAAAACTTTTACGAGTTTATTCGCGTTAAAATTGTACCATGTCTTTTACAGTTTTTTCTGTTAAAATACGCGTTTTTACACTTTTTACAAGAATAAAACGCGTAGAACCGCGTTAATTTCTAACGAAAATAAATTCGCAAAAAGCGGACATTTTCAAGCGTTTTTACGCGTATTTTTGAAAGTTTTGTCTGTCTGGATATTCAATGATTAATATCTCTGCTTTATTGATGTTAGCTTATATTAATTAAACTTCAACCTTATAGGTAAAATGCTTTGCACTTGTTGAGGATGATCGTTCGTACGCGAAGCTTCTATTAATTCAATATAAACAATAAAATCCGATTCTTTTCATTTGTATAGTTTTATCAAATTTTTCAATCTGATCGATCCTTCAGGGTATTTTAAAAGCATATTATTTTCGATCTTTCGTATCTTTCCATATGATTTCATTGAATTTTAATTTATGATTTAATTATTTCGAGATCCTTTTTAACTAAGAATCAAATTAAAGTTGTTTTGCAAGGTTTCAGTCGATTGTTATTATTATTGCTTTGTGGTTAATAAATTCAGCTATGATTGGATAATATATGGGTGAATCTATGAGAGCCCATCCACTGTTTGGAAAGCTTTTTTCGATTTTTTCCGTCTCAAACATCCGGTCTTTGTTAGAAAACACTTTTGATGAAAAAAGAAAGAATTGAGTTCTATCTGCGAAAAACCGCGAGTTTTTTTAGTGTGTTTAGGTATACCTACAGCTTTTTGGCATATAATATGGAAAATGATAGGAAAAGAGCGTCAAATTCCATCAAAAATTATTTTTTCGGAATTTTCTTGTGTCTCTAGATCTAATAGAACTGTGAAAAAATGTTTCTAGGGAATAATACGATTAATTTCAGTCAAAATCCTAAGTGCTGAATGATTTTCTATGGATATAAAAGAATAGCCATATTTCGTTACTCGACAAGACTTCAAACTATTGGAGAGAATTTTGCCTTTCTTTCTCAAAAGGTATAAGAACTTTCATGGCAGTGCCTTTCTAAATGCTGTCAAACTGATGTCTTTGATTCCACTATTGGACGTATCTGATGTGACACCCTCTTGTAGAAACGAAACCATAAACTGGAAAGCTCCGGTGCTGTCGTACTTACGGATTTTTCATTTGCCTGAGAAGACGTTTTCCGGCATAAACTTGCTTCTGACCATGGAAGTGTGTGTATTGTTGAGCGAAAAGACTAGATATTTTTACATCAAAAGAAAGCTCTCATCGCCAATATAACAAGGTTAAAATATTAGCTGCCCTTGGTAACTCTAGAGGGAGATATTCAATTTTTACCATATTCACGATTCATGTATACATGAACATTAGGATCATTTATATCAATTTTCTATGCAATTAATTAAGTATTTCACCATTAGAATTTTCAGATCTCATTGAATTTTATTAATATAACAGTGAGAACATATTAGTTTTGATGTTTTTTCAAGCTTAAGTGATAGTCAATACCTTCAAATGGCCAATAGTCTCCATTTTATTTAAGTTGAAAATAATAGATTATATAATAGACAGTTTTTAGAAATTAACTAGAAGTGTAGATGTAAATCTTCAACCAGATGGTAGTAACAAAGGGATTTTTTACACCAAACGCACATTAATAATGTTCGCTCATTGCAGTTGTTAACTGAACAGAATAGATCATAAAATCTGAAGCAAACATCTTTTGGTTTTTCAATCTGTCCAATTGTTTCATTTGTTATTCCAGCTTGTACGAATCCATTTTTAATAAGATTTGTAAATGCTGGAGCTGATAATTGATTATGAATAATAGAATGAACGTTGATGAAATATTGACGATTGCTTATAGTCATTTCTGTTCGATTGATATGAATATAATGCTCGATTTTTTTATGAATAAATCGCCATGAACGAAATAAAGAAAGATCTTGTGGTTGAATATAGCCTGTTGATCCTTCGGGAAAAATTAATAACTGACTGTTTTGATTAGGAGACACTGCTCTAAATTTAGTTAGATCAGCTTGCGTTTTCCAACAATCAAGGAAAAGAAGAAATTTTTTACCTACCAAAGGACGTAAAACTTCAGTTAGAAAAGCGTGATGTTTTTCACCGCCACTTTTTCCAGATTTAGAAGCTTTTACTACAACATTTGGTGGTATAATTAATTTTTTTTCTACTCTTTGACCAAACTGATTTTCTTTTTCTTGAAGGATAAGTAAGAATTTTTCCAATAAATACCCATTAGCTGATGTAACTGGTTGAACTGTCTAAGAATGAGTTGTATTATATTTCTTTTTGACGGCTACTTCTGTTGTTCTTTCACCAGTAAAAGATAGGGTTCTTGGAGATACATATTCTTGTTGAAACGAACAATGATCGCTGTTTAAGATTTCGTTCGTAGAATACTTTGATATTAAAGATCTTTGATTTTCGATCCAATTATGAGCATCTGAAATGTATATGCATATTACATTTAAACACACGTACTTAAAGATGTAATAGATGTTCACATACCGTCTAAACTGCACGTTTTTTTGTTTGGTTTAGTTCGAGTAATTATTTTGTTATACTGTCTTGATGATATTCTGTTTTCTGTTTTAAAATCATGTACAAATGATTTACTTGCCTTGAACGTATTTCAATCTAATTCTCTTGCTTTTTGAACTGCAAAAAGTTCCACATCAGTATCATGAACGGCTTCTTTTTCAATTGTTCTTTTCACATAAAATTCATTAAACATAAATTCTTTAATTTGCTTTAATTTTTCTAATCTCGTGCCGTTGTTTTCGATGTATTGTCTGAATCTTGAAATATAATGCATGTATTTGACTTTTCTAAATCGATGGGAAATAGTTGCGAATCCAGCATTCGGATGTTGGTCAACCCATTCGACTATCTTTTCCATTTCTTCTAACGTAAAACAACTTTTTAAATCAGAATGTTCATTCTCATTGTAATCATCACTTCCATCGCCGTCTTCTTCTTCATCAGTCATTCCGTCAAAGTCATCTTCAAATTCGAGAGTCTCGTAAGAATACAACTCATTGAAGTAGCTGTCTTGGAACGACTTCAGAATTTCGAACAGTCGTTCGGCAGCAAAGATTTCATCGGCAGTTGCTGCAGATTTTTCAGATGTGTATTCAGTTTCAGCCAAATAAAGAAGTTGTTTAGCGATGTTTAATAAATTCATTTTTTAATCTGAACAAATAAACTATTCAATTCAATAGATCCAACAGAAAACAAAATAGAATAACTTTTCAGTATTACATTTCTTGGTGATTTCTTAACACCAGTTGTAAACAAATGGTCAATAGACCGCCA